AATCTGTAATATAAAAGCGAAGTGTGAGTTATTATGGAAAAATGGTGGGCGATTAAGACATCTTCCGTAATATTGTATAAAAATACTGACCGGTAAACGGTGTAAAAAATCAAAGACAACATCAGCTGATTTAGGCTTAGCTGAGTAAATTACCTTTGAGATACATATCCTTTAAATATTGTCTATAAAAAAAAACACACTTGGCATTTTCCTAATCGCAATATAGTTTGTTTAACAGTTATTCGTATTTTCGTGTCCAGAATTTTTTATAGTTTTAATGTTTAGGATGTTTTACCAGAACATGGACAATTTAATCTCATGTTTAATAGACAGAAATGAATATCCTGGGCTTTAGACACAAACATCATGATTTAAATGCTTGGAGAACTTTCTTAATATTCCAGTTTTTTCTCTTATTAGGCCTCGTTGAATGTCTCATTGATATTAACTAGTCGTATTTAGATATATTATGCAGCTTATTAAGAGATATAGTAATGTAGTATACTAGGTGGAGAATTGTTGATTTTTGGACTTGTAGACAATCCATCTGGCATTATCCATGTAAAGAAAAAACATTTATAAAATTCTAGCTCTTTCGGCAGATGGACTGTCTTCACTGGGGGTTCAGAATACCCATATTATGAGGGAAAAAACAAAACCCTAGCGCTGTAAAGAAAGATAGGACTATCTTCATTAGGGTTTCAGGATATTAGTATGAGCTAAAGAAAGGGAAGGATCTGGTTTCAACGCTCTATCAGAACGGAATACTTTTTTTCAGCTTTTTCAGATCATTCCACTAATATGGTTTATGTGACATATATCACACGCTTGAGTGCTTAAACACTGACTTTTAAAATATCCAAACACTGGAAGTTTTAGTTTTTGGTGGTATTTATAAAAAAAAAGAAACAGGAACATTAAAAATGCAAGTAGATATCTGGGGGAAAATTGTAATAACGTGGTAGAAAATAAACAAATTATGGTGACAGCAGCAAAAAGTTAGTCGGGACAAAATCCCTAAAGTCAAACAACTGCAGTATTGTTAAGGTATTGGTTAGCTTGGGATACTTCGGGTGCTCTACCTTTGTTGGTGTTTCTTACTTCCAAGTTAAACTTGATTTTTGGACAGGAGTAGATTTAATGACTTACCTGTCGCAGCTGAGTCGTTTCTCGTGACTGGTAACCTACCAACTAGATAATGTTTAGTGAAGATTGTTCCAGTTGTAAGTTTGGATACGTGAATATTCCACACGAAGGAAGGAGAGGATCTAAGTGAAAATTACGTGGATATTCCACACAAAGGAAGGAGAGGCTCTGAGTGAGAATTACGTGGATATTCCACACAAAGGAAGGAGAGGATCTAAGTGAGAATTACGTGGATATTCTACACGAAGGAAGGAGAGATCTAAGTGAGAATTACGTGGATATTCCACATGAAGAAAGGATAGGATCTAAGTGAGAATTATGTGGATATTCCACATGAAGAAAGGACAGGATCTAAGTGAGAATTATGTGGATATTCCACATGAAGGAAGGAGAAGATCTAAGTGAAAATTACGTGGATATTCCACATGAAGAAAGGATAGGATCTAAGTGAGAATTACGTGGATATTCCACACGAAGGAAGGAGATGATCTAAGTGAGAATTACGTGGATATTCCACATGAAGAAAGGAGAGGATCTAAGTGAGAATTACGTGGATATTCCACATGAAGGAGAGAGATCTAAGTGGAAATTGTAATGTATTCCCTGCTGATATATTGATGAATCTTAAATTCATTCTCTTTAAGAATTTATTTGATTTTGGAATAATTTGACAATCGTGGAATTGTTGGTTCTAACCAAACACCTGGAATATGCTGTGTTATGTTAGGCTTCACTTGAAGACGCCAAACTTTTAAATGGTACTGCTTTGACGACCGCAATTTCAAGTAAGATCTTAAAGAATAATTAATAATCTCTTTTGATAGTGAATGTCCACTGTTCTTAGTTCATTTCATATTGTACCATTATATGAGGTCCCTTATGTTGGAATGACTAGTATTCTGAATTTATTCCACATTTCGATCATTACTTTGAGGTCACGTCCTGTTTGTATGATGGAATGTCTAATATTCTGAGTTTATACCATATTGTACCATCACCGTGAGGTCACGTCCTGTTCTTTATGTTAGAATGTCCAGTGTTCTCAGTTTTTACCACTACTGTGAGGTCACGTCCTGTTTTTTATGACGAAATATCTAGTGTTCTGAGTTTATTCCATATTGTACCATCACCGTGAGGTCACGTCCTGTTTTATGCTGGAATATCCAGTGTTCTGAGTTTATTCCATATTTCACAATAATTGTAAGGTCACGTTCTTTGTTTTATGTTGAAATGTCCAGTGTTCTGAGTTTATTACACATTTTACCATTACTGTGAGGTCACGTCTTGTTTTTTATGCTGGAATATCCAGTGTTCTGAGTTTATTCCATATTTCACAATTACTGTGAGGTCACGTCTTGTTTTTTATGCTGGAATATCCAGTGTTCTGAGTTTATTCCATATTTCACAAT